TGCAGATTGTGGGATATATATTTTTATGCCCAGATGAGTCAGGGCTAGTTCTCGGAAAAGGACCTTCCCTTCCTCCCCCATTTCCTATCTGGTCTCTGATGCGTAGGCCAAACAAACGCTGTTTGACAGATAGGTGCGAATAATATTAACAAGGTCCATAGTCGTAGGCCAAACGAATGCTGTTTGACAGATACGTGCGAATGACATTAACGGGGTCTGTGAATGACGCATACCTTGGGGGGGGGACAACACGTGACTCAACATATAGCAGTTTTCGTTTCGCACGTGTTGAGGTGACAACGATCTCACATAGTTGCTGGCTTTCGGAGGAATCGGACGTCACCAAAACCAGTCTTAGCTGTTTGCCGTTAGAAGAAGCAGTTGTCGGCAAAACCAGACTTCGTTGTTTAATGCCAGAAGAATTAGATGCCACCAAAAAGCAAAAGACCGACGAGAGAATCTAGAACAACATCCTCAACCCAAGTCGGCTGCACTCCCGTGATTTTTCTGTGTGTTCTCCTCGCCATCAACACGGATTGGACGTCGCCAGTCAAAAACTCATATTAGAACATTGACAATCCCACCCTTTACTTTCAGAGAAGTGTATGAATATCCTTTTGATCAAACTGTACCCCGATAATAGTCAATCGACGTCGATTTCAAGCTTATGTAAGTTTCTGTATGTTTTTCTATATCTTATAGTCTGCTATCTCTGTATTCATATGTATTTCACCGCATTAATATCTGTTTAATTGGTAACTTATCTCCCCATCCCTTGTATTATTTAGTTTTCTTTTTCTTTTTCTTACTTTCACACTTTGTATATTCTATAAATAAAATCTTTGTATTATATATTCTCGTGTCGTCTTCTGTTGTTCTGTGTCTGCGTATGGTTCATTTTCTTTCTGCGTTTACCGACGTCCGGAATTGGAGAATTCCTCTCCCAACGTTCTTTTCTTTATTTTTATATCGAACCTTGGGATCTCTTACTTATTTTTTTTTATTTTCTCGTTGCATCCCGGCTATCGTAGTCCCAACGAAACCCCGGGCGTAACATGGTCATTTTGTGACGGGGCCTTGTCCCGTTCACATCCGGCTCTCGCTCTTGAGTATGTTAGTTTATTTGCCTGCAAATCAGCCGAGATATGTCTTATTTTATTTTATAACAAGGCCACCCCCAGGTCTCGGTCTGATTTACAGTGAGCGTTATTCGTGTATATTTGGGTGATTAATTCATGATAAAGTCTCTGAAGCGTGTGGGAAGTTGTTCTCATGTTCTTCTTATTGGCATTTGTTTTGGTATGGAGTTATTTGATGAATTATGTGTCCCAGAGGGATGTGAAGGAGAATGATCCTGGTGACTGTTACATGGTGGAGGCAGAGGGATTGTATTAGATAGATGTGTTGGACGTGGAGCCAGTCGTCGGATATGTGCACGGTGAATCCAGATTGTATCACCATTATCGTTTTGCACCTGACACATCATATTGTTCGTTTTTATAATGGTGTAATTTCCTATCTAGGACAGATGAGAGGATTGGGTAACAGTTGAGTGTGGCCGGTGAAGTAAAACCTTGTCGCCTACTTGTATTGGGTCCTTGTATGTGAGGCGATTTAAGTTAGTCTCAAGTTTGTGGCCGGCTTCATCGTTGGCCAGGGTGACGTGGTGGTGATCCTGCTTTAGCAGGGCATTAATTTGCATTCCATATGCTCCAGGATCGTCGCTTGCGATTTCTTTTCTGTGTAGTGTGGGTAGGCCGATGTTGGGGTGACGGCCGGTAATGGCATAGTGCGGGGAGACACCGGTGGCGCTGTTGGTCGTGACATTCATGCGGGCGAAGGACAGTGAAGTTCTTGCGTGATTGACATCTGGTTACAGAATTGTCGATAGACTTCTCCAGTGAAGTGTGTGCCTCGATCAGAGGATACTATGCGTGGAATCTCTCTGTGTCGAAGGAAGAAATGGTACAATCCGCGGGCGGCGTCGATAGCACGGTCTCTCGCGCATGGTATGGCTGTAAAGTGTCGGCTGAAGCTATCCAAGATGGTTAGGATGTAGCGTTTTGCCTTTGAGTTGGGCATTGTGACAAAGTCTATAAAGACGAGATCGAATGGTCTCTTTTCTCGTTTGCAGTGGCCAATGGGCCAGTGGGTACGTCTACCGTAGTTGCCCTTGCACTTAGTACACGTGTCGCAAGAATCAATATAGGCCTTGATGTCGCGGTTTTTGAATTCCCACCAGTAGGTGGAAAGGAGTTCTCGCATACGGATAACACCTGAGTGGTTGTTGCCCTCGTGTGCCTGGTAGAGGTATCTGGATCGTAGTTTGTATGGTACAACCAATCTCATCAAAACGGAGGTGACTGGTTCTAGAAAAAATTGGTGCAAATGTTTTTTGAAAGGCGTAGCTCGGTGGTCGTCAGGATCGATATGGAGTTCGCTTAGAGTGGGTGACTGGAGGGCGCTGATGATCTTTACCAGGGCGCCGTCCTTCTGTTGTGCATTTGCGATGCCGAAGTGGTTGCAGATTCTCTCGGTGGGGATGGTGGTGGTAGAGTGATAGGCGAAGAATGCGTTGGTGACGCGCTTGTGTGTGCGGCGTTTTGTGGTGTGTGAGTTTTGGGAATGAGCTGTAAACCGTTAAACTCGCCGAGGCACCAAGATGGAATGTATCCGCGGAGGTCTGAATCACTTACTTCGAATGTCCTGCCTGCCGGTGTAGGGTCGTTCGGGACTTTCGTTTTCTTATGTCCGCAACCTCTGCTGAGCATGTCAGCCCATACATTTGATTCGCCTTCGATATATTCTAAGACGAATTTATAACATGAAATTTCTTCCTGCCATCGTCGTATTTTGGCATTATTGAATTCTCGTTGGTCCAGATATGTCAGCGATCTGTGGTCGGTGAAGATGACGAAGGGGCGGTTGCGAAGGAAATAATCAAATTTCAATATTGCCCACTTTACTGTATATGCCTCTCGTTCCGTCGTGGACCAGTTCTGTTCCGTGGAGTTGAATGTATGGGAAGCGACTGCTATGATATCTTTCTTCCCGTTGTCGGGTTCTTGCATTAAGATTGCTTCACATCGACGTCACTGGCGTCGGTGGTGAGTGTGAAAAGTTTGGAGAAATCCGGAAACAAGATGACGGGTGGCGAAGAGAGACAGTCCGTGATTTTTTTGCGTCCAGATAAACGGTTTATTGACCTTGTTGAGTTCGTGTATGGGACTCATAAGTTTTGAAAACTAATCTGACCTGATTTGTTCGTGAAGACGTGTTTCTAGGAATTGTCTGATCCACACTAAAGGTCCATAAGGCTTTGTAATTCCTTTTTTGGTGTCATTTCCCTGATGGCACGAACGTATTCTGGATCAGCCTTGAATCCTTCGCTGTTTACTATGCGTCCGAGGAATTTTGCCTCTGATGCGAGGAAGGAACATTTATCTGGATTCAGCTTGAGTCCGAATTTTCGGAGGGCAGTAAAAAATTGTTCGAGGGAGAGTATGTACTCCCTAAATGTCCTAGCGTGGACCAGGTTGTCGTCGATATAGGAAGAAATGTTGTCACGGGATGTGACCGTGGCTAGGGTTTCTGCTATGCAACGGGAGAATATTTGTCCAGCAGATGTAAGGCCGAAGGCCAGGCGCGTGTATTGATAGCATTGGTCCTTCCATGTAAATGCTGTTTTGTATCGGTCTCGCTTGTCGATCTCAATTTGCTAGTAGCCGTTGCGTAGATCGAGGGAAGTGAAATATCTATTGCCTTTGCCGATTTTGTTGAACAAGTGGTCGATCCTTGGCATTGAGTAAGGGTCAAGATCGACTAAGACCTTGTTGAGAGTTCTTTTAAAGTTAGCGACGACGCGAATCGATCCGCTTTTCTTGCGTACGGCAAATACAGGGCTATTGAAGCCTTTGGGGTCTCTGCAGTTTTCAATGATACCTTCATCAGCCATGAGCTTAATTTCGGTATCAACGTCTGCTTCCAAAGCCTGGGCGATCGGGTGTTGTTTTTGGCTGCGAGACTGGCCGTTGGTTGGTATGCGGATGGGTCGGATGAATGCGTAAAAATGCCAATGAGATTTGTCTGAGTAAAATGTTCAGAGTTCAGTGTTGAAAATAGAATATTTCTTTCAGAAAATTGTTCAGTTATTGCAACTTACAGAGTTGATTTAACTTAGTGTGTCCACTGAGAACTGGTAGTGTATCAAATAAAGTTCTGTATTGTGTATGTACGTGTGGAGTGAGTAGGATGAAATACACGAGCGAGTAGATGAGATCTATTGTCTCTGGGTACACTCAACTGTGGTTCTAGAACTACTACTACTGGTTTTTTGGAATGCATCCAATATTTATACTACCTAGGATGGCTCCCAGCAGAAACGCTGGATATATTTTTGAATATACATGAAAAATATCCAATTGGACGGAAAATCAGCGATTTTGTAGCAAAGCTTGTTTTTGAACAAAGTGTAGGAACAAATTTACTATGGTGGAATGCGATAGATAAATTGTCCTGTTATTTTTTAGTATGTATTTATTGACCAACTAGAATTGGAGAAAATGTAGGCGTGGCACTACAAGATTATATTGGTTCTCAGCAGGAGTCTGATTTCGCTTAAAAGCGAGTAGGTCTTCACTATGTGTACCCAACGTCACTGAATATTCAATATTTTACAATATAAACGATGAATTTGAACACTGACTTTATGTCCACCCTTATTCATCCCACTCGATTACCCAATAAAACAAGACCTGAAGCTTTTTAGTTTTTAACAAAAATTGTTTCAACAAATATTCAAAATAATAATATATAATTAGATCAAAGAGAATCTACGGGAAAAGTGAAAGCTTTCATTTTGTTGATGACAGTTTTCAAATATTTTTCGTGTATCGTTATTTGAATTAGCTTAATAAAAATAAAATAAAAATTTATTCTTTCCTAGCGGAAATATTTTTCATGGCTTCTTAGCAACAATTAGCACCGTCCGGAAAGCAAGTATGGCAAGTACACGGCTTGTTGAATATTCGGGAAGTTCAGAATCAGAGGAAGATGAAACAGAACCACTCGAAAGCACGAAGGACAAAAGAAAGAACATTGAGAATGAATTACAACAACCAAATAATGTGAAGAAGATTCGGAAGAAAAGTCCTGTAAAGTAAGTACGTAAAAATCAAATTTTCATTTAATATTTTTGAGTTCTCTCCCTTGTATTTTAATAATTTTATTCTTTTCCGAATTTTGTTATAAAAAACATTTTTGTCCCCTTTTTGTTAAAGTGACATTTTCTTAAAGGTAAAAACGCAAACTTGCAAAATAGTTTATTAGATTCTGCTTGAATTCTACTCAATAAATCTCTCGATTCCCAGAGCTTCTGGGTAAAAAAATCAGTTTTTCTTTTTACATTGAATGTTGATTTTGTTTTTGACTTTTTGTTCATGAAAATAAATATTTTTATTTTGATGTATGTACTGTACTCCAAATAATTCTATTTGTAATTTTTTCTTCTTTTAGTTTTAAAGGATTCCGTTTTATTTCCGAGTCATTACTCATTTAATTCGTAAACTAAGAGAATGAGAAAACCCAAAAGTTATTTACTCACTCGCGGACTCACTAAGTGCCCTACAATCGTGGCATTGTAATTTACTAAAAATTAAAAGCTCTTTATTTAACTTAATTGCACCCTAAGAAAATTGAAGGCGTGTGTTTCGGAAACTTTTCTTTAACTTGATATATTTTTTCCTTTTTATTTTAGTTCGAATTACATTTCAGACGAGTGTTCATCACATTGTTGTTGATCATGGCAAAAAACAACGAAACTGACAAAATGGCAATTCTACAATGTTTTGTTCGATTCTTAAGCAAAATATTCACCTATATATGGTATCTGCGCACATCCACTAGATCGGAATATAGCACATGGCGAAATCTGATGCGTAAAAATGCCAATGAGATTGTCCTTCCCCATTTGCGATGCTTCTTCGTTCATCAAAGATTAGCTTTGTTGACGCTGCTCTTTTTAAGTGCAATGGGGAAGGTGCTGTCTGAGGGGATAAACGTGCATAAGAAATGATTTTGTCATTTTGCAAAATATACACCATGGCATGAACCATACACCTGTGTGTATCTCGAACCTAATTGCTCCCCACCCCCGCAATACTTTTTGTTTGACCCTCGTATCTTATCAACATTTGCTTTTTTTCTACCTACAACTGATTAACTAAAGAATGAAAATTTTTTTGCAGATTTTGACATCATTCTGCGTTTTTTTTTGGGGGGGGGGCAAATCCGTGAATTTGTTTTTGACTATGCTAAGTCTTAAAAAAAACAACAACAAAAAACTATAAATTCACTATTTATTATTTTTTTTTTTTTTAATTTTTCAACTTTTTAACAAGAAAAAATCTCTAGTTGATGTTTAAGTTAAAAATTTAAAAACTGTTGCAAAACAAAACGTTGTTGATTTGTTTAAGATGGAATGATCTCTGATGACATGTGTAGAGACCGGTTAGTTGGAGTAACCTCTCGAATTTATACTTAACGTAAAATACGACAAAATATGAAACAAGAAGGAACACAAAACTGTTTTAACAAAGAATATTTATAATATTTATGTCTGTAATGATGTACAAATATAGGGGTTACTTCCCTTTGACTGACATTAAAGTCTTTACTAATAAAATATTTTTATGATCTGAGCTCATAAAAAGTTGAATGAATATGCCGCTCAAAATGTTCACTGTGAGAGAGTTGAAAAAATTTTGTAATATGAATATTGTGAGAATGTGTTTGGTAAAAAAGGAACTTATATTATTGATGTTTCAAGAAGTTTCTGTTTGGTACTAAATGAAATTTAGTTTTTGTACTTCTGAAAATAATTACAATAAATCTTGTCGCTAAAAGAAAATGTCACTAAAGAGCAAAATCCATTGAATAAAACTGTGTGAGAAAGTTTCTTGAATTGTCCTGAAAAGCTGAAAATATGTTCAGCAAACTTGTAGCTTCAGATGACCACTTTTTTAAGTAATTTTTGTTGGTGAAGAATTGGAAAAAAACTATAATATTCAAGTTAAATTTCTTTAGCATGGTAGCGATGTGTCTGGTTGATTTTTCTTTTGTTTTGTCTCTGTTAAAGAGTTGAAAAAATTCTGTAAATCTGAGAATATGTTGATGCTTGTAATGTTCCATAATGTGTGTAATTAAGTTTCATATGCACGTGCATGTGTGAATATATTTTCATAGCGTCCGCCCATAAGGGGTCAAAATGTGATTTCTTTAACAGCTACATTTTAGTAGCGAGAGAAATCAAAAGAGAAAGAACGAACTTGTGCCTGGTATTTATAATCAACATAATCACATGATAGACTCCAAAAGGCATTGACAGATTTGGGGTAGAATTATTTTTTCGTCAGGTCAGGAACTAGGTTGCTGTTATTTAGACGTAGTTGAGAACATGATTTTTTATATTAACTGACCAATGAGAAATTATAAAAAATCAGGGCTCTGTAATCCACTTTTTGCACAGATTTTGCACAAAAATTGGCATTGATAAAAAAGTGGTAGCATGATGCTAAACATGTCTCTAATTTGTCTGGTCAACTGGAAGTTGCTGTCTCAAAGTCAGGGGTCAAATGACCAAAATCAGATATTAGTGCAGAGTCTTTGAATAGCACTTCCAGCAGTATTTTAAAATATTTGAAAATAAAATTTATATTATTCGACCACTGACAACGCTTCCTTTGCATTTTGGAAGGGCTTCATTTTGAGCCAACACCTGCTAATGGAAACTATAAATACCAAAGATAAAAAAAGGAAGGAATGATAGAGGGGGATTCCATGTTGTGAACTCAGACATGGATCACACATCAACTGGATCAACATTTCCCAACAAAGTTAACTACCTACTTTTCCCTTCTCAAGAGTTTTATTAAACACACCTCAATGTGTGTAAGTAAACTTTTTCTCTTCTTCTCAAGGGTTTTATTAAACACACTACATGATTCAGAAAGCATCAAAAATAAATAGTGATTTGTTATAAAAAAAATCTGTCTTCAGTTTCATTCAAAAATTCTCTTAAATTTCTTAAACTCGTTTGTATGATCTTTAATTTTGAAAAAATGTCCTCATATATTGGACTTGAGTAATTGATTGTGTGCAAAGGACTTTATAAAGTTCTTATTCCTTTCTATTTCTAAAACAGTTGTCTGTGTTTATTTGTCATTTTTTATATAGAGGCCTATGACATTAGGACTTACTTGGCAGTGGACAAGCTGACACCTAGGCCAGTCCAGTCCTCCATTGATAAAGAGTAATATTTGTTTGTACAAAGGAAAAAAAATGGTTTGCTATTAGAAAACTCTGTGTGTGTAAGTTAAATCTAGTAGACAGCTGCCTAGGGGAAATAAATTTTCCTCAGTGAGAACAAGGCTTGTGTTTACATTGCTACATTTTGGAGCAAAAGGGAAAAGTTTATGTCCATTTTTTTTTTTTTTAAGCCTGAAACAGTGCCATCTGACATCTCAACAAACTAAGTGGAAGTAATCCCCACATTTCAAAAACCATTATCGTATAATTTATAATAAACTTCCCTTTTTTTTATCACCTTGTGCAAAAGTTGTACAAGATGTGAGACAGCAGCAAATGGCACTTGATTTTAAAAATGACAATTTAAAATGTGTGAATATTTTAAAAATAGTTTCCTTCATGCTTTCAATTCCTGATACATCAGCTGATTGTGAAAGAATTTCGAAAGTAATCTATATAATACTAAAACTCTAATCTTGTATGTTTGTTCCCAAGATATAGTTTAAATGATACATAATACCCAATCCAATTTAGGAGTATATTGTACCTTGAAGCTCTGCCAAGTACACTTCTAATTTTTATTAAAATTAGACAAGGGGTTCTTGAGCTAGGGCCATTTTTTTCTGTTTTTACACCATTTTTAATAGGAAATTCAGTATTTGTTTTTCAATACACATCAATGTGCATATATAAACAGTTGCATATTATATGTGTGTGAAAAATAATAAACATTCATACTACATTATAACAACATTATTAAATAAATTTAAATATACATAACACATATTTTTACAATTCGCTTGACTACGTTAGAACTTTTTTTATAAACAAATATCTCTATTTGGCAACTACTTGATAGGTAAAGAGGCTACATGGGTGTGTCATCATAAAACATAATCTGTATGGCTGGAAAATTGCATCACATGACTTGATGGTAATTAAATAGATGCATGCTGGTTTGCCCCTTTTACATATTTTGAAATAAATGTGAGGAAGAAACAAAAATATTAAACAATATTTGATTGTTTATTTACAAGAATAATTTTCTATTTACTACATAAAATATATGTGAACCAATGTTTATCATTTACCAGTTTATAAAGAAAAAATATAAAAACAATTTTTTATTCCTAAATTTATAAAAATTCACTGAATTATAAAAATATATGAACCAACTATAATGAAAATCTTTTTTTAAAAAGTTCAAATTAATTGACAGCTAGGCAATGTTTTGCCATCCATTCCAATAAACAATCTAATAAATAAATAATGTTTACTTTAATATTTTTATTGTAAATTCTCAAGAACAAAGAACATTTATAAATTCACTTTCATATGTTTAGATTTCATTAGAATTCTAATCATTTCCTTTTAAAACAATAAACATTGCCGAGGAGTGAAGGTAGTTAAAATAGCAGTATCAAGGGAGAAAAATGTTCTTTTGACGCCATTTTTTTGCAGTGATGAATGTTGCCAAAATTTTCCTGTTTCTTAATACTTTTATTTTTCGAAAATCCTCTGTCACTATTTGTTGAAAATTAATTCTTTAATTAACTTATATAGTATATTTATATTGTGTATATATATATATATATAATTTATATATAGTATTCAAATATCCTATATATTGATAGGGCAAATATTTCCATTTTCTTAAAAATTTCCTTATTGCTCATATGATCCATCTGTGTTACTCTCAGCATCCTTGTACTTGCAAAAATCAGTGTGTCAAAAGGTTGTTTTTTTGGGGTTTTTTTTTTCCTTGACATCACTATTATTTTAACTACCAACACTCCTCGGTAATTGTTTTAAAAAGTGATGATTAGAATCACAGTAAAACTTAAACATATGAAAGTGAATTTTATATTTTTTTTTGTTCTTGAGAATTTACAACAAAAAATATTAAACACTATTTATTTATTAGATTGTTTATTTACAAGAATAATTTTATATTTACAACATTCTAAAACTAATACAATTGTGTTAAAACTAATGCAATACAATATTCATCATCACTCTTTAAAACAATAAACATTGCCAAGAAGTGAAGGTAGTTAAAATAATAGTGGTGTCAAGGGAAAAACTGTCCTTTTGACACTCCATTTTTTTTTTTTTTTTTTTTTTTTTTTTTTTTGGCACAAATTTCTAAGACTGCTGTCTCCTCCTCATCATCTATGAGGAAATTTTCCAGCATTCACTGCCATGAAGGAGGATTGGTATTACATAACAGTGTAACATTCTTATCTTTGTTCCCAATGAAATTTTCCTGTTTCTTAATATTTTGCTTACTTTCTGGAAGGCATCTTTGATCCAATGAGTTTTCAGCTTTCTGTGTCCCATTTTCCAGTGTCATAGTTAAATTTCTAAATTTGCTTTATTTTGACATCTCCAGTTTGTAGCTTGCATCTTGAGTTGTCCTTTTTGCTAATGACCATACATACTTTCTTTTTACAATTATTGGTTAATCCTTTCTTCTCGTTCTCCTTTAGATCTACCTTGTCTAACAGTATCTGCAGTTTTCTTTCTGTGTCTGCCAATAGTACAGTGTTATTTGCATATAAATTAAAAATGACTATGTACATATTTTTTCTTATAACGTGATGGAATTGACAACTGTAGCTGTGCATAAAGCCATAAAAAGGAAAGGGATTGGAATCAATAAGCCAATGAAATTAATCACCATAAAACTGAAATGGTCAGCAAAAATACCATGAAATATGGCATAGTACAAATTATAAACAGAACAAAGAGAGTATCTGTCGATATTCCTGAGATGAGGTATTATGTACATTATTTAGATTATTCAGACCATTGTCCTCATCTTTGTCACCATATTTATTACAACGTTTCACCTGTTGTACGCTCCGGCCTTCTTCAGGTGGTTGGAATGTCAAACTGAACCCTTTATTTCGCTCACTGGGGTAGACTGTTCTAGTTCCACGTGCCATGTTTCAATACCCGGTTAAAGCAGTGGAGAACTTTCAGAGGGAAAATTAACAGGAGATAACTGATAACTGACATCCATTAAACATGGCATCTTAATTACAATATTCCTGAATCTAAAATAGCAAAAGATGACCCTGAAGATAAACAAGGCTTGCATCCAATTAAAAAAAAATTCATAAAATATGACATTTATACCAAAGAGTTTATAGTTCTGTAGATAGGGTTGCCAAGTGTCCTTAATTGAAAAAGATAATCCTTTATTTAACTCTTTCCCCCTTTGTCTAAAAAAGAGAAACAATGTCATTTTTAATTATTTTGTGGCTCTGCAGGAATTAAAAAAATTAAAATTCTGTATATTTTTTCTTTATCTTTTATTATGATTTGTTAGCAACTGTAGCCTCTGATGACATTTTATAAATTGTTTTAATTGAAATTTTTTTAACTATTTTTTCTTTTATCAGAGAACTTCTTCCTTTGCCTGATGACATTAAGAATTTATATAAAGAAACAGAAAATCTTATTGGCGATGATCCAACACAACATGATGGACGTATCCGTAGTTTTCCTCATTTGGAAGGCAATTGGGCAACTCATATCTTCATTGAAGGTCTATAATTGTTTAAAATATTTCTTTTAATAGTAGCTGTTGTATCATAAATATTTCTTTTTAATATTTGATATTAGTGGCTAGTTTCCATCATTCAATAATAATGTGCATCTGAGAAATGGCACTTTTATTGCAGTTGCCTTTGTCTTTTGTCCTTTTGTCTGAGATCAAAGTTTAGTATCTGTTTTCAGACAGGTGAACTGCATTTCATCTCCTAGTTCTGTCTCTATCTGACAACAGAATGCAATTAAAAATATTATTGAGAGGTACCCAGTCTTAGGAAGCAGCTGCTTGCAGCTAGTACCGCTCTCATTGCAGTAAATAGTGGGGACTGATAGTAATACTGATGTCAGTGCAACCAATGGTTGCTTGGGCTGGACTACTTTTGGACCTGGTGCATCGTTTCTTGGCCTAATGGCTAAGATCAATTTTTTACTATTTAAAATTAGTAGCTGTTACATCATAAATAATTTTTTACTATTAGGAATTTCAGATATATCTTGTCACTTGTTTACCTGTGTCATATTTATTTTTCAGTTGCATTAATTGTTTTTTTTCTACATGAATAATATAAAAATAATAAAATAGTCCCAGTATATAGGAAAAGAGCATATGTTTGAGAAGAAAATGTTAAACATTCTTTGAATGAATATTAATATGAAAAATGTCTTATTTGCAATGTATGTTGTGTAGGTCTTCTGACTATTGAGATGAGTAGGTCTTGAAGGAGGAATTTCTTGTAACTGGGCTCAATGTAGTGAAGTGAAGATTCTTATCTTTGGAGCATGTTGATCATTTCACAGTGCATTGAGCTACTGAAGAATATTTTTTATCATCTCTATTTTCTCAAATGCGCTCACAAAGATAGTTTTTAGTTGATGAAAAATTTTTTTATCACTAAATTTTGTTGAGGTGAGCCTCTTCTAGATGCCTTAATCACTTTTTAGACTTGATAAAAATATCCAGTTTTGAAATAAGGCAGGATAATGATAGTCATGATTAACAATGGGTTAATCAAAATGAAAAGTGGTGAATAAAATCTGTGTTTATTTGCAAAGTGTTTTTTCTTCCTTCCTGCCTGTTATTGTTTGTAAAAAAAACTTTTCTTTATTTTATTTTATGTAGATATAAATATATTTTTTTTTCTTGCAGTGGAACTGAATGAAGATCTGTTTGAGTTGCAGCAACTGCTTTTCTCTCAATTGAAACCGTACACTGAACTAAAACCCATGAACCATTATCATATTAGTCTCTCAAAAACTGTTGCCATACGTCACCATTGGATTCAGCCTCTCACTGATGGACTATCAAAAGCATTTCAAGAATTTTCTCGGTGAGAATCAAACAAAATTTCTAAATATTTAAAATATAAAGGATTTACATCAGGGATGGTAAAGTACAGCCTATAGGTCAAATTTGACCTATTATGATATCTCTTTGGCCTGACAGATTATATGATTAATGCACATATTGTATATAGATTAATTTTCTACATACAACATGTGAAAGCACATGCGATACATAGCCCTTTTCAACTGCCAACCAGGGGAGGTAACACACAGTTTCAGTGGCTAATGTAGTACTGCCACCCCTGGTGCCATCAGCAACTTTTGCCATCAGACATGGTATTGTATTTGTGTAGATATGTAATTTTATTTTATTTTATTTTTTTTGCAACTGCAAGTGAGATTTTCAATGTTGTGTTAAAAGTTTTTGTTTTTGATCGTTAACCAATACACAACATGCTTGTAGTGACTGTTATCAGTGGCATAGAATGGGAGGGAAACAGGCGTGTTTCACATCGGAAGTATGATTGTGAGGGCATTG